TAACTTTGGTTTAATTTTTCTTCATATCTTAGATGTATTTTGTGATGCTAAAATAATTTAGGATTGATGTTATACTTCTCATAAGTGTATGTGTTTTTGTAGGTTTCTAAATATCATCTGTATTTAATTTTGAATTATACACTTATTAGAAACTATGTACCTTGTTTTTTTGTTTTATTATTATTATTATTATTATTATTATTATTATTATTATTATTATTATTATTATTATTTTAATCTGCAGTTTATTTCAGTGAATCGGTTTGATAAGCTTCATAATTGTTTATTTGTAGGTTTTTTTGTCACAGAAAGTCGGAAACATGGTGGCTTAGCGGTTCCACTTTTAAAACAGCCGGTTTGAGGTTATGTAAGAAACTTTCGGTATTATTTTTAAGGCCTTGTTCTGGTGATATCTCCAATTTATATTCAAGAGAACAAAAAAACTTGTTTGCTTTACGGCAATGGATTAGGTCTAGGTAATAAATTTGTTCATTTTCTGTTAAAATATATAAAAAAATTCACATTTTATTATACTGATTAGTTTAAATTGACAAAAGCACGAGATGTTATATATATATATATATATATATATATATATATATAGTGTTGATGAAGTTGGAACAAGTCTTCATCTTCTAAGAATGAGTATCCCTGGTTTTAAAGAAGCTTAAAGTTAATAGTTAAATGGAAGATGAAAGTTGTTATGCCTTGGATCACATATACTTGGATCACATATAATGGAAGTGGTAGAAAATGACTACTATTTTTCCACAAGGATGTCTTTGCATAGGTATATTGAAAACAATATACATAAGAAAGTAAGGAAGAAAAAAGTTCAAACATAGGCGGTATTTGTTGCTAAATAATAAATTTTCACCATTAAGAAGAAACTTAGTCATTTATTTGCGTATTATGGTGATGCCTTTTCTTATTCGTATATTTCATTTTGGTTCTTTACTTCTAAATTATTTTTCATGTATTCTACATTTTGGGTTGGGAATGTGTTAGTAGTTCCAAATATTCTATTAGTTGTGATTTCTATCTGTATATCATCATTTAGCTTATATATCATCATTTAGCCGAATGGATAATGAAATAGGAAAGAGAAAGTAGCATAACCGAGTAGATAGTTTACCTATAGGATGCATCATCATGGGTACATATCTTAGCAACAATAAGGGATGACAATGAGGAGTTATAGTTGGACTAAGCATGGCAACCATCGAAACATTTGTACAATTTGAGAATGAAGTAAAGGGATAAACTTCCGGATCTATAGATGGTGGTGATTTTCACTGGTGGATTACAATAAAACAATAAACTCCTTGTCACATAAATGGAAATAGCCACATACTTGGAATTCAATTTCCATATCACTAATAGCAATGTAATTTCATTCCCATGCCAATAATATCAATGTATTTCCATCTCCTTACTAATAATAACAACATACTTGTTTCTTTAATAGTAATAGCCACGTACATGGAGTTCCTTACCCATAATAGCGATGTACTTCCATTTTGACAATCCAAAAGAAATAACCAAATTACCCCTTATGGACCGTGCTTAGCACGAGCCTCAAAACTTACCTAATATATATATATATATATATATATATATATATATATATATATATATATATATATATATATATATATATATATATATATATAGAAACCCTTTTATTTTGGTGCCTCCGAAATCACATTTACACGTTTCCAAGATTGACACGTAACCCACCTTCCGAAATGACGCCATGGACATCAACATCCATTCAGACCATCTCATTTTTCATTTTGTTGTATCGATTGATCAACGATGACAGTAATTGATTTCATTTTTCACTTCATCGCATATTCTTTGTTATTTTTAATTGCTTAAATAGGGGTAAGGGTTATCCGACGCCTTAACTAACTTACAATGATGGATTCTTAAAAAGTTGTATTTCTTCAATTCATCACATACATATTTTTGGAATTACTGGAGTAGAAAACCAAGGTAGATGGCATAAAGAATGTCACTTCTCCATCTGTGATGTCTTAGATATTGGTACAATTTCATATATTTTTTTGGTTAAATTTCTCCCCCTTCAGGATGAACCCTAAATTTATTTTGTGGTAGTATATGGACACTGAACTCAACGTTGTTAGCTATTTATCATGTGTAAGGAGAAAATTGATCACCATTATCTTTACGATGAAGATTTTCATTCTAATTTGTATATGTATTAATTCATGTACTTACGAAGATAATAATAATTTTTGATTTTTACTTTCAAATGATTGATATTTGGGCTCCAATACACAAATTCTGAAGAATAAATTTACTATAATTTTCAAAGTTTTGGCCAAAGTTATCTTTTTACCTATTGTCCAGTTTTAAAGTAAGCTTTATGGGATATACGACTTAAATGCTTCTTCTTTCTCTAGAATTCATTATTGGGTGTTTGGTGGTTGATAGGTGTGTTTCTTGGTTTACCCCTTTTAGAATGTTTTATTTGTAACTTTATTGTTGTGATATATTAATGATGTATGCTCTTTGTTCAATTAGATGCTAATCATATTTGACTTTGACCAATTCGAATCTCATAGATTTATCATAATAAAGCACCTAGACAAAGCAACATGGATTCTACACTTAATACCATTATTTTGTTACTAATATACATCTATCTTTTGTGGGCATTTGTTCTTGGGTTGAATTGAAATTTCAGTCGGTCAATTTGGTCTTCTAAAAGAACCGGTGAACGAAAGTGATTTCAAGAAGCAGGATCCCACCAAAATTCAAGAAAAAAAAAACACAAAAACATCTATACATGGATGGTGAACTCATTACGAAGCTCTTGAAACCTTTTTTCGAAATTATACAAACCTAACTTTAAAATTAGTTTTATAGATCATATGAAATGTCGCAAGATATATTCTCACGTTGATTTTGTTTATAGCTTCAGTTTAGTTTATCTGTATAAAGTGTTGCTCAGAAATGGAATTGTGTTGGCTGTGAGGTGGTTCGATGGGGACAGCGAACAACGGTAAAAGGAGTTTGTGGCGGAGATTTAGACATCCTAATAAAAAAGCTAAAGCTGATCAGTGGTTTCCTTTATAACGACAACTTCACTTCTACACACTCATGGTAGTTTTCTTTACCAATAATTTTTAATTAGTCAACAGTTTTTTCTCTTTTGTTTTTAAATTAATAAATGGGTAGTTAATTTCATTCCAATGTTTACTTAGAGATTACAATGCGTAATATCGTAGAAATTGTTTTAATATGTATTAAATTAATTTAGTTTTTTTTTTCTAACTTTTTAGCTTAAACTTTTCTACAAAATATATCTACTATGCTTACTATTTGTTTGTTGTCTTATATTTTTATTGCATGCTAAGTGAAATATCTCTACAATGTCTTTTATTTTATTTATTACTATTTTATTTTGTTTTTAATAGATGAATATAACATCAATAAGTTAGTTGGTGCTATATGTGAAAATTCTTCTTTCACACAGTAGGGTAGACCCCAACCAACCATCAGTTACCTCTCCAATTTACATACTATCCACTAACGAGTGGAAATGCAATGCCATTTTGTGAGATTTTGACAGGTGTCATGGCTATAATCTTATAAGATTTCAACAAGATATATCATCATGCTTTCAATTCTTATCTTATTAAGATCAAAAGTTTGAAATTTCCAGCCAATTATAGTGATTTACTTTTTTATCGTATGAAGTATGGTCAAAGTCAAATATGGAATTGAGGAAGGAATGGAATAGCCTATTCCACTGAATTGAAAAAAAAATTAACTTTGTTATCTAATGGAATGGAAATGGACAATTCTTGAAGGAATGTAATTCAATCAGTTAGTTTTTTTTTTTTTTTTTTTTTTTTTTTTTTTTTTAATTGCTTAGTCTGAGGGTTGTTTGTTTTCATTCCTTGATGCAAGATGAAATAGTAAATGGTAATATTATCCGTTATTTTAACGAATGATGTTCAAGATATAGCTTATATTCCTCGTTTGACATTTTACCTTATTTTGGAAAAAACACAAATTGTCCTTCATTGGTTGTGTTTGGTACATGCTTTAGAACTCATATGTGGTATTTACATTGAGATTCTTTTTTTTTTTGAACCAAACATAATGAAATATTATTAAGCGAGCTAAGAATCATTCAACTTTAATATGTAACTAAGAGTTGGTGAGAAAATAAACCACAAAGTTTTCTATTATATATATATATATATATATATATATATATATATATATATATATATATATATATATATATATATATATATATATATATATATATATATTCTAAAAAGCATATTTTTTTTGTGAAATTTTGCAGAAAAGGGAATGATGGACTCACAAGATTAGTAGATAACCCCCGCTAACTCTATAACATATGAAATGTTTTTAGAAAACTAAAAGTACATTGGTATAAAAGTATTTTCAGAAAAAAGTTATAATTACTAGTTTATGAAGATGAAATAATCCGATTTGTTGTGATGTCTTCTTTACAGAAATCGTATTCTTGAAAATGAGAAAGCACAATACACTTCAACAATTGGAATGAAAGTTGAAAACGTGTTACTGATATGAAATATAAATGGAATCAAAATATTTATTATTAGAATATTAATTTCAAATTGATAATTTTCTGGGATTCATTGAAATCTTAAAAAAGATTCATCAAAATAGATAGGACTTGTAATTAAAGATTTGAACATAAATTGCTATTGTTTGCAAATGTGGAATTTGAATGTTATTTGAAACAAAAAAATTTGGTAATATGATGAAAAATCGGGATTACAATTAATATCTATCAATTTATGATTTCTTTTTGTAGGAATTAAAATTATTCTTAAGAGTGACACATGACATTATAAAATGATAGAATAAGAACATGTGTCTACAATCATGGTTTTGTTACAATAATGGTTTTGTTTATTAAAGGAGGTAGATACATAAATTAAGATTAAGATTACGAATAAAAGGAAAATCTCAAGTCTTTTTAAAATCAATTGATTTCTCACATTGAGTAATCATACAATAATATTCGGATTTTGACCCATAAGTCTTTCTAAATTTTACAGAATGAGTGGTCTCTAACTCCAAGTATATGCTCCAAGTATATGTTCTTATTTAGATATTTAGATTACGAATAAAACAAAAAATCAAGTCAAAAGTCTTTTTAAAATCATGTTCTTATTTAGATTACGAATAAAACGAAAAATCAAGTCAAAAGTCTTTTTAAAATCAATTGATTTCTCACATTGACTTCATGTAATCATAAATTCACAATCATTTAACTTACGAAAATTGATTTACTTGATCATCCGATTAATTACAACAAGAGATGGCCTCATCAATTGAAATAATGGAATCAAATCTCACAACATCAAGTAAGCATATTCTGTTTATAGAGTTCATCGTAGTTTATTAGCCGATATAAATATAAATTTTTAATTTGATTACGTTTATATAATCAACATATATATTTGAATTGTTGATCTGACACCAAAAATGATGATATTTTGTAAGAGAATCAGGAGGAGAAATGCGAGTTAAAGCCCGAATTTGACGATAATGGCAGTTTAAAAGACGATGGCGATTATCCCAGTGGAGAATTTGAGTTTAAAAAACCAGGTGCTTGGAAGAGCTTCGTGGTGAAGCTACGCATGCTAACTGTTTATCCATTGCAACGTGTTCGCAAAGGCAGCGTTCTGAATATCAAATTGCGCGGCAAGGTTTGGTCGTTTTCACCCCTTTTGATTTTATCAACTATTGTTTTTGAATCGAAATTACACAAAAATGTTTATCGAAGTGAACATATTGGATGACGAAATTGACTTTTTACTGCTGCCAATTTCAGATAACTGATCAAGTGAAGGGTCGTTTCTCTTCAGGATTATCCCTACCTCAAATCTGTGAAAACCTAATTAAGGCAGCATATGATCCTCGTATATCTGGTGTTTATCTCCACATTGAAACCCTGAAATGTGGATGGGCGAAAATTGAAGAAATTAGAAGGCACATACTGGATTTTAGGAAGTCAGGTAGATTTATACTACTAATTGTTATGAAATTACATGTATATGAGTTTTCAATTACCATAATTCTGATACCTGTATTAAACTGTGATAATTCAATTTAGGAAAGTTCATTGTTGGTTATGCACCTGTATGGCATGAAAAGGAGTATTACATTGCCTGTGCTTGTGAAGAGCTGTATGCCCCTCCAAGTGCTTACTTTTCTTTGTATGGTTTGACTGCTCACGCATCATTTATTGGAGGTAAGTTTGACACATTACATTTCACTTCTAGCTTTAAATTTAAAATTGTCCCCATTATTGTCTATCAAATCTTGTTATCAACTTCTGAGCCTAACCAAAGTGGTGTGCATAAAGGTGTACTTGAGAAAGTAGGAGTTGAACCACAAGTAGAGAGGATTGGTAAATACAAGAGTTTTGGTGATCGACTAACTCGCAAGAATATATCTGAAGAAAATCGCGAGGTGCTTACAACATTAGTAGATAATATCTATGGGAATTGGGTTGATAAGATTTCTCAAGCCAAAGGTGAAGTTAGCTTGTGCTTTCTTTAGTCTTGAATCTTGATATATCAAAGCAATCGATTCAGATTGTTTCATTTACAGGAAAGAAAAAGGAAGATATAGAGAGTTTTATCAATGAAGGAGTTTACCAAGTAGAAAAGTTGAAAGAAGATGGATGGATAACTGATATAAAATACGAAGATGAGGTTACATCTATGCTGAAAAAGAAATTGGGCATTGCAGAGAAGAAAAAACTTCCACTTGTTGCTTACAAGTAATGATCTCTTATTTAAATTAGTTTTTTCATCTTATAATCTTACAAGCATTTGTCAATTTGCTCCAGGAAGTACTCTAAAATTAGAAAATGGAGTTTGGGGTTGACAGGTGGCACAGATCAAATTGCAGTAATCAGAGCTTCGGGTAGCATTAGTCGTGTAGGAGGCTCATTTTTTGAACCTAATTCAGGTATCATTGCTGAGAAATTCATTGAGAAGATTCGCAAAGTAAGAGGTATGTATATATATATATACACACACTTCATTTTATGTCATTATAGGTTCATGTGTATGAACTTGTCTTGTTTTTTTTTTTAGAGTCAAAAAGGTATAAGGCTGTTATTATCCGAATTGATAGCCCTGGTGGTGATTTTCTTGCTTCTGACTTGTAAGTTCTTGTTAGTATTAACCACAAGGCATTTAACATTAACATATTTGATTTCTGATGTTGATAAGTATTTATTTATTTATTTATTATTATTTTTTTGAGCAGGATGTGGAGGGAAATCAGTTTATTGGCTGAATCTAAGCCTGTGATCGCATCAATGGTTGATGTTGCAGCTAGTGGAGGATACTACATGGCCATGGCAGCACAAACTATAGTCTCAGAGAATCTTACTTTGACCGGGTCAATTGGTGTTGTTTCAGGTAGATTACACTATCCTTGAATTTTCAGTTTGTTTTTTTTGTTAAATCTTTCATTATTAGGTGTCATTAATCATGAATAAGAATCTTAAATTCTTGGGTTTGTTAGTAATATTGACACTAACCACGATTGCTACTTAAATAAGAAAAGAAACCATTTTTCATATATTTTGAGCATGTTTGATCACTGTTTTTGTTGTAGCTAAGTTTAATTTTGGGAAATTATACGAAAGAATTGGTTTCAACAAGGAAACCATATCAAAGGGACAATTTGCTGACATGTATACTTCTCATCGGTCATTCAGGTGAAAGGGTTAATTTATTAAATGTATAAATAAACACGTATTAAATATGATTAAGAAAAATTATATCTTATGATTTTAACCACTATCACAGACCTGATGAAGAGAAACTTTTTTCTGAATCTGCCCAAAATACTTATAAACGGTTTCGTGACAAGGCAGCAGCTTCAAGATCCATGAGTGTATGTAGTGAATATTTTTAAGCTACTCATTTATTTAACAAGTAATTGATGATTATATATATATATATATATATATATATATATATATATATATATGCTGTTTACAGGTGGAAAAGATGGAGGAGATTGCTCAAGGGAGATTATGGACTGGTGATGATGCTGCTTCAAAGGGTTTAGTTGATGCAATTGGAGGCTTCTCACGCGCTGTGGCTATAGCCAAACACAAGGCCAAAATACCTCAACACAAAAAGGTTGCTTCCTTTCTGCTCTCTGTTTCCTTCGAGTGGCTGATAAAAGAAACTAAACTATTTTGTATTTTGTATTTTTTTTTTAGTGATAATATTGTCGTATGTGTAATCCATATTGGTGACTGTGTGTGTCCAGGTTAGATTGGTTGAGGTGTCAAAACAATCACTTTCTTTACCACAAATCCTGTTCCGCATGATGACATCAGCAACAGGACTAAACCATCTGAAGGATGGATTGATATCAAGTGATGGGGTGCAAGCGCGTATGGATGATGGGATCATGTTTCAGGGATCAGAAGGATCTTCGCTTGCAGTTGCAGACCCTATTTTCAATCTGCTGAAAGACTACCTGAATTTTGTTTGATCTTAAGTGATGGGGCACTTGGTATATTTTCCTTGTTACACATTAATCTGTAACTCTTCATAAAACCTTAATTAATAATCTTGACAACGTAAAAGAAACTATTCAAAAGAAATAAAAGGGGTTTCCTGCATCACTTTAGTTAGCTGTCTCGAGTTGAGATAGAAGCTGGACAAACGTATCCACATCCCTCATCGACGTTCCATCCTTAACTGCCTTGCTGGCTGCTTGGCTTAGCTTCTTCACTTTAACTACTCGCTGCTCCGCCTTATATCTCCCACTCACCGACTCATCCAACAACCGAGCCAACTCAACCGAGTCAGGAACACTATCGGGTGCATCCTCACAAACTCGTTTCCCAACACCCAACTCGTCAACCAATAGCTTAGCATCTACATACTGATCTGCACCCATTGGCCACGTCAGCATCATCACACCCGCTGCAACTCCTTCCAGCGTCGAATTCCACCCGCAATGACTCACAAACGACCCAACAGCCCTATGTCGCAGTATCGCTAACTGTGGGGCCCAACCTTTGACTATCAACCCTCGACCACTCACCCAATCTTCAAACCCACTTGGAATGGAGCCCGATTTGCTTCCCTTTGCACACAAGATAAAATTAATATTGCTTAACTCTAAAGCTCCTATAAGTCCACCCATTTGCTTCTCGCTTAATGTGGTTTGGCTCCCAAAGCATATATATACAACAGAGTCATCGGGTTTGTTGTCTAACCACATGAGCAGGTCGTTAGGTGGCACCACACTCGACCCACCACGTCCAGTGCCATGATCATCGGGAAGCAACGGGCCAACTGCCCAAACCCGATCATGACCCATTTGTTTCTTCATGTGATCAATGTACACCCCTTCCAACTCTTCGAATGTGTTGTATATGATTCCCCAGCTGCTCATGTTAGCCAACATTCCATTCCTGAAGGATTCGTAATGCGGTTCTCCTTTCTTAAAATTTTGTGACACGGGGAGCAACTGCCATAGAGGAAACTCCGGCGAGTTTGGGATTTCCGGGAAAGAAAGCGAAAACTTTTGATCTTTATCGGCATTAATCTCCTCCACGTCTTGCCACAACGTTTGTAAAATGGAAGAACTAAGAACGCCTGAAGGTGAAAACACAATGCGCTGGATGCCCAGGTGGGAAGCGAGTTCACTAGTCCACCCGAGAAAGAAGTCAGAGACGATGGCCATCGGCGGCGAAGGGTGGGATCTGAACCATTTAACGATGGGATCAAACAGTTTCTGTGTGGAAATTACTTTGGCAATAAGGGGATCAGGGAATGGGGTGATCTCTGGATCATCGAAAAGAAGCTTGTGGAGAGAAGATGGATGGGAGGAGTGGAGAGGGTCGAGTAGTGGGAGGTTGGTGGGGGAGATGACGACGGTGACGGTTAGGCCACGGCGGAGGAGGAGGTCGGTGAGGTCGAGTAAGGGAATGATATGGCCGGAGCTAGGAAAAGGGTAGACCAGTAAATGTGTTGAGTGCCTCATGTTTCAAGGTTCGATGGTCGATAGATGTTGAGGGGTGGCGAAAGAAAATGCTTTATTCTGTGATCTCGTGGATTGGGTAAATTAATAGTATACTTTTGTAACTAATTTAGCAAGATGTTAGGACTTCTAGTTAGAGACTTGGTGTACGGAATCTTATTTTTTTAAGGTAATCTCAGAAGTCAGAAATAAAACAAAAAAAAAATGTTAAGAATGTTTAAGATTTTTCAAATGTATGTGTAATATTCTTATAATATATTTAACCTAAGTGTTATAAATGTAAAATTTGATCTATTAAATGATGATTTAGTAATATGATAATTAATTAATTGGTAGGTGAATTGTCCTTTAACCAAGCAGAAGATGACACGGAAGAGTCTCTTATGATCTTCATGTACACGATCAAGATGATCAACATGTTGATAAGCAACCTTTAAGCAATTGTGAATTGTGGCCTTGTGGGCTACTTGTGCTCACCGTATCTCAAGTTACCATCCAACCAAGAAGAAGATAACATGCAACCTAAGATCATGAAAATGACGAGGGACACTTACATCGTTCTTATATTATAGATAAGAATGTTTAAGGAATATGACTTGCACGACAAACAAATATCTTAACCATTTACGGAGTTGCATGTAATCAAAATCGTTGTTCGGTTTATTTCTTAGGAAGATGGAAGACGTGCAAGAAACAAGAGGAAAAGGGGATCCGGAATTCCATATATTCAATATATCAAAGATTTGGGAAGAGGCATCTACTCCTTGATTCGATGACAACTCATGTAGAAATGTGTCAGGAAACTAATATTTCATGCGAGTAAATATACATTCTTAAATTCCTTGGACAACATATTAGATAGTTAGGGAATGCATCTCGAAACTTATTTAATCATGCAAATTCATTTCGATGATAATGAATTTAAGAGTTTTAATAAATCAGATATGACATATCGATTAAAGGCAAATAACAATATGATGGTGGAAAACTTATGTTATAATCAGGAGCGGATTCAAAGAGAAGGGAGTGGGGGCTCGTGCCCCCAATGTTCTAATAATTTCTATACATAATAAATTGAAAAATTCACATGAGTTTCTATAAAAATATGTGGTGCCCTCAACGAAATGAAGATCATATGTGAGATAAAGATAGTAGAGACATGGGTTATCAGTTTGGGTTGGGCTCGGGCTTTTTTGCTTTTGAGGTTAAATTTATTTTCTTAGTTTCAATGTTCTTCTCTAGTGTATTTGACTAGGATGATTACAAGTAGGCTTGCACAAAAAAACCGGTTCAGGATCCGAACTGGTCACTGAACCGGTAAACCGGTTCACCATGAACCAGTCAACTATGAACCGAACCGATTCAAGAACCGAACCACCGTTTTGAACCCGTTCGAGATTTTAGACATTGAAACCGGTTTAGAACTGGTTTAATAACCGTGAACCGGTAGTCAAACCGATCAAACCGGTTTAGAACCGGTGTAACCGGTTTAGATAGGTTCGCGTTTAATAATGACGGAACCGGTTTGAACCGAACCGGTTTAAGGATGAACTGATTTTACTATTCATGAATCAGAACCGAACCGGTTTTCTGAACTGGTTCGGTTTGAAAAAAAAATAACCGGTTTGCTCACCCCTAATTACAGGGAGGAGTTATGCCCTTTTTACCGTTTTCATTTCTTTTTCGCTGTGTACATTGTGTCAATGTGGAGTTGGAGCATATTACCTTTGTTTATTATTTACAATTTTATTTTTATTGGCTTTCACTGTAGAAATTTTATGTCAAATACATTATTTTTATTGTTTATTATATATTTTTATTGTTTGTATGTAATATTTACTATGTTTTTTTATTTGAATATAAGGCTTATTATCTATAATTTGGTTATGCATTTAGTTCCATATTTATATATTTGTAAACCATATTAAATAAATTTAATGTTAAGTTTTTAATACAATGTAATATGAAACAAGTTTTTGTTAATAACGTTAATCTTTATTATAATATCATTATGTATTTGTAAACCATATTAAATAAATTTGAACATTATAAGTTCATTTTTTGTTAATAATGTTAATATTTATTGCAATATCATTATGATCCGAACCGATCATATAATTGACCGCTAGGCACTAGCTAGTACCTCCTATGATGATAATTCCTGAACCCGCCACTGGTTATAATATTTATATGTAACTTCATCTCACAACAAAGTAAATATAATTTGGTACTGAATTAAGAAAAACCTGAGAAATAAACATTATCACAACTATTTGATATTTGATTGAAATAACCTTTATCTATATATTTGTAATACATTGAGCTTTATGTAAATCAACAAATTCACCATAAAAGTTAAAGCTTTATGTAAATCAACAAATTGAACATAAAAGTTAAAATTGGTCGATCCAAAATGAAATTTGACATAGTTTTAGTTTTAGGACACCTTATATAATAAGTTTTAGGACACTTTATATAATATAAAGTATCATATTTTTTTTACTCATTTCATAATATGAATAGTAGTTTCGTAATGGGCCTAATAACAAATATGCTTATTTCTATAAAAGAAAAGAGAAATTATATATATATATATATATATATATATATATATATATATATATATATATATATATATATATATATATGGAAAAAGTGAATATACCCTTAAGGGTATATAAGCTTAGGTACTAAACTCACTATATTACGTCGTTTTGTGTCATATATATACATTGTAATTGTTCAATGTTCTTAGAATTCAACTTGATTTACTTCGAAATTTTTTATAAATTTCACATTTATTGTCATCTTACATATTTTTCACTTTTAACTATAATATATATAGCTTAATAGTGTTTGACAAAAATATGCGATGTAAGAGGAAGATAATGGTGAAATTTTGGAAATGTTGAAAGTAAATCAAGTTAGTGGTTGAAGTTTAAGAACATTATAATGAATATATCAAATAAAACATTGTATTATAGTGGGTTTGGGTACATAAGTTTATATACCCTTAAGGGTATATTCACTTTTCCATATATATATATATATATATATATATATATATATATATATATATATTCCTACCAATGTGAAATGGTAACATGTCATTTTCTTTCAATTTTATTTTTGAAACACACATTCGACACGCACAAGAATACACATACATACATAGCTGCTTCTTATCAGATATTTTGGATTTATATTGTAGCTTGTGTTTGTAATGAACGAGGCAAGATGATTTTGGTACAAAATTGGCATGCTACAATTATGTTAAGATTCTTTTTGTTTTCTCTAATGTTATTTGAAAGAAAGTTAATTTGTTATGTTTCATATCAAATGAAAGCTGTCTTGTTAATGTTTGTCTTTTTAATATATATATATATATATATATATATATATATATATATATATATATATATATATATATATATATATATATATATATATATATATATATATATATATATATATATATATATAAGTGTCAGAAAATACATTTTTTGTGGATCGAGAAATTATATATTTTTTTTGTATTAATACTTAAAATCCAAATTATAAATTTTATAATAAAATAATGATCAAGTTGTTTAATTAAAATAAAAAATCAAATTTCTTATTACTTGTAGTTGAATTTGGAATCATGTTATCTTAAAATACAAATGGACATTATGAATTTATGATTATTCTTCTTGTAAAAAAGACATGAACCCACTTTCCAAAAACCTATGGGCTTGGAAGTGAAAAATCATCAACTGATGCTCACTTCTTCCTGATATCTTCTTATGGCCAACTCCCGACTTTGGTTATGGATTGGTGGATGTGGCGCTATAGCTCCCTTATTTCTTTTCGTTCTCTCGATTGCTTTTGAAATACAAAAGGTAAAACCCTAATCCTACAAAGCGAGCACTAAATCGGATTATATTTTTGAAACACACTCCCAGAGATGCTTTTGATGAGATCTTTTTAATGCCTATACTGATTGTAGCTTGTACTTTTATAATGTGAATTGTTATGAAAAGGGCGACATGATTCGGTGCAAAATTGGCATCGGTGGTGTCAAGAATGTTTTCGTTTGTCATTTAGAAATTTATTTGTTCCGTCTCATATCAAAATTGAAATCCAGCTTTACTTCTTTTTCGTTTGGATTATTGCTGTAAGTGATGTGTACAAGTGATTTGTATAAATTCCTGTTGAAAATTTATTAAAGGATTCGTTACACAGCACTTGATCTTAAAGAGGTACAAATTAAACTTGTTTTTCCACCCATTAAAATATTCTTGAACACAACACTACTCCGAGTCATAGTCTTTGTGTGCATGGTACAATCTTTTGGAATTGTCTATGAAGGCCTTCGAATACATATTCTTCTTAAAAGGAGAGCTCATGTAATCTTTGAAAATCTTCCTCTGATTATTATGATTTTTGAAAATCTCTTCTTATGATTATAGTCTTTAAACAATTTTCTTGCATGCATATGTCAAAATCACAATAATCAGTACACACCACATACAACTATCAAAGTTGAATGTATGAATTGCTTGTACAACCAATTTATCCAAGAGATGAAGGTTGATCAGGATTGGCATCATGTGCATGAAGGAATCTTGGAGAGATTTATAATGATATTAATGCTTACAAAGTTGGTTGATGAACATATCCAAATCCCTGATGGATGTTCCTTCTTTGACTGCTTTGATGCTTGCTTGGCTCAGTTCCTTAATTTTAACTGTTCCGGCCTATCACAACTCAATGACTCATCCAACAACTGAGTCAACTCGATCGAGTCAGGAACATTTTCGGGTCTACCCTCACAAACTCGTTTCCCAACACCCAACTGGTCTACCAATAGCTTCTCATTTGCAAATTGATCCGCACCCAGTGGCCACGTCAGCATCATGACACAGCCCAAACCCTATCATGGCCAATCTGTTTCTTCATGTGGTCAATATATATAAACCCCTTCTAAATCTTCAAAAGTGTTGTACACAATTCCCCATGCGGTCATGTTACCTATGACACCCTTCCTGAAAGATTCGAAATTCGGTTCTCCCTCTTTGTAACTACGCCACAGCGGAGACAGCTGCCGCCAAGGAAATTCCGGCGAGTTGGGAATTGCCGGTAAAGAAAGCAAGAAGCTTTCATCTCTGTCACCATTGAGCGCGTTAATCTCCGGTAGATCTCGCCACAACATATGAAAAATGGAAGAACCTAACGCACCTGCAGGAGAAAACACCACACATCGGATACCTAGGTGGGCGGCGAGTTCATTGGTCCACCCAAGAAAGAAGTCAGAGATGATGGCCACTGGCGGTGAAGGGTGGGATTGAAACCAGCGGACGATGGGGTCAAACATTTGTTGGGTGGCAATTACTTTGGCGATTAGGGGATGAGGAGATGGGTGGTGGTCGGGGTCGGAGAAGAGGAGTTTGTGGAGGGAAGAGGGGTATGAAGAGATGAGAGGGTTGAGTAGAGGGAGGTTGGAGGAGGAGATGATGATGGTGATGGTGAGGCCACGACGGAGGAGGTGGTGTGTGAAGTCGAGTAAGGGAATAATATGGCCGGAGGCATTAAAAGGGTATATTAGTAATGTGGGTTGCCATTTGAGTCGCACATGTTTAAGGTTATGATAGATGGTATTGGTGTTGGAAAATGGGAAGTTTGATGTATTTATATAAGCTTAATAAAAAAATTAATTAAAGATGGTGGTTAATTTGTTGACTTGGTAAAACTTCAGACCCTACGATATTAGTCGACTTTATGAACTCTTGAGGAGTCATGTTCGTTATTTAAAATCTCTAGACTTTGGTTTTATATGAAGAGAAGTTGGTAGAAATATGCTTGGAACTTGGAAGCCAAAAATATTATTTAACATGAAGTGACTTCATGGCTTACGTTGTTTTTGTTAAACGGTTATGGTTTATTTAGGATATAACAAATTATATGACTTGTGTGACATTAATTAATTAGCAACCATTATAAAAGGTTTAAAAGGTTTGGTGACAATGATTTTGGACCATAGTTTAGTTTTTATTTTACTTTTGTATAGTAAATTAAAAAACATGGTATTAGGTTGCAACAAAAAAAACATGATATTAAATTGCAGCAAAAAAAAAAAATAGAATGTTAAAATCGAAAAAAATAAAAATATAACGATTTTTATGCAATTTACTCTCAATTTATTGAACTAAATAGTCAAATTTCAAACCATTCATAGTTTTAGCATAAACATAAACAATTAATTAACTTCAAAATTCGAACAATCACATAACCAAGACAACATTTGACAATATAATCGGTTAATTACAGTAAACAATTACAAAAATTGGCGTTGCAGGTTTCCACAACATCACAGGGTATTGTAAGCGAGTACTAGGCCGTCCGGTGTACTCTCAACGATGAGCCTTCGTTACCACCTGGAACCATCACCACGGGCGTGCACACCAGCCTGTCTGCTCTGTTGTACAACGATCGTGGTCACTTGTTGTCCCGACCACAAACCACCACGACCAATCAGGTCTTCTTCTTCTATATTCCTCTCTCTTTTTCTCTCTCATACGGGTATCTCTCTTCGTTGTGGATAATATACGAGGTTCAAAGTGGAAGGAAGGTGGGTGGATATGGTGGTGATGTGGAGGTGGATGTAAATTGTAATCGTTACCGGTGTAACAGATGGTCTTATGGTCATAGTGTCTACCATAGAAAATATAAAGCATACCACCAGTTTTGGGAATAAATTTACCATTATCCTGTTGTTCAAACTAATATTTAGCACTAGGCACTAGCACATGATGAAAAATGAAAATCCCAAAATAGTTTGCTTAGATTGAATCAAAGAACCTGAAGAACGTGACACAGGTTTCTCATGTCGACAATGGGAACTCTAGGCATCAGACTTTACAGACAGGATCTTCCGGTGGGAATGTATTAGTTCTAACATATTATGCGTCAATTCATCCCTTCCTACAGGTTACACCATCCAGTTTATGAGTTAATAAAACCATTTTCATTTCACTAGTGAAATGTAATCTTGATTATATGCAACTTGCAGGTTATTTCTTACCAAGATTGACTTGCCGATTACTAGAAATGTGAGGTTTAACAAGGTATACTTAGTGGCTTCCCAAGCACTTCCTCCCTCAGCTTCACTTCAAAATTCCCAAGCTCATATGGTTTCAGCATCTCCAGTTGCTTGGAATTGGAATAGTTACCTAGATTCAATGACTCGAAAAGCTTAATCATTGTGGTTGATTTCTTTAATAGAGCCTTGCCGGTTCAAGGCCTTGACATAATGGGTGGCGCGAATTACAAAAAAGTCGGCTCTTGAATGGAAATTGGCTTAGCTAGGTGAATTTCAGAGTAATGACGGCATTCCGGTTCGTCTCCATTTTAGTGAAACTCTTCCTCAAGCAAGGCAGCCATCGAAGAATTCAAATGGGTGGGTGATGGTCCTTTTCTTTATTGAGATGTACACCAACATAGAGCTATAATTGTTAGGATGTGGGCTTATGGTAGAAACTATTATCCCGATGTGTGTTTTGAGAAAATTTTAATGTTGTTTGTTTCCCAAAAGAAAGACTAGGTTCAATTTTTTGCTCTAGCACTACTTACTACTTAAATAAGTTCATCCATTCATCTAGTTTGTTGGATCTTAAAATGGGAGGTCTATGATTTACTTATATGAGCTCTCAGTTGACAAGCATAGCAAGCTAGACAGATACCTAGTCTCCTCAAATGTTCTTAATTCCTGGCCTTACCTAAATGTCACTGATCTCCCAATGTTACATTCAGACCACTCTGCCATAATTCTATCTTCCAATCAACCTGACTTTGGGCCATATCCATTTAGATTATTCAATTCATGGTTGAGGGAGCCTAATTTTGATGTGATAATAAAGAATGGTTGGAATCTTAACCCTCTTTCTAGTCCTCGGATGCATATGTCTCCCCTCTCCTTAGTTGCTGGAAAGTTAAAAAATTTAAAGGAGCACATTAAAATTTGGTGAAAATAAATTATGGAAAGAAATTGAAAAGAGCTGGTGGAACTTACAGAGGGTCATGGGGAGCACCAAAGTGGTGCTCAAAACAATAGAAATGATTTAACAGGTCAGGAGCAGGCTTCAGACTGCTCAAAGTCGTCAGAAAAGTTATGCCGAAAAACGCCGCTCGGACCTGGAGTTCCACGTCGGGGATATGGTCCTCCTGGAGGTGTCTCCATGGAAGAGCGTCATCTGATTCAAGAAACGGGGCAAGCTGGGCCCCAGGTATATTGGACCCTTCAGGGTTATAGCCTGGGTGGGCAAGGTGGCGTATAGGCTGGATCTACTAGCAGAACTCAGTCAGATCCATAACACTTTTCATGTCTCCCAGCTGCGGAAGTGCTTGGTGGATGACTCGACAGTGGTACCTCTGGAAGATATTCAGGTAAATGACAACCTGAACTACATTGAGCGGCCTGTGGCGATCCTCGACCGGAAGTCGAAGGATTTGAGGAACAAGAGGGTCGTGCTGGTAAAGGTGCAATGGCAGCACCGAAAGGGATCGAAATGGACGTGGGAGTCGTAGGACGAGATGATGGAGCATTACCCAAAGCTTTTCCAGGATCGAGCAACAAACTTCGACGATGAAATCTAAAATAAGTGGGGGAGATTTGTAGCACCCGGTTCCTGGTACGTATTTTCATTCAAGTAATTATAACATTTTGGCCTGGGACTCGGCGAGTTAAAGGTCCAAATCGTCAAGTAGAATCGACTTTGGACACGGGAGTTTAGTGACCTACTCGACGAGTCGGATAACCGACTCGACGAGTAGGCACTGTTTGGACAAAACCCTAAATATGATGGATTGCACCCTATTTAAACATCTTAATGTAGCCTCCATCATCCCTTATGCGCCCAAAACACCTTATACTGAAACCCTAATCGTTTTGTGAGATCTAAGGCCCTTTTTGGTGATTTTGGTGGTTTGTGATCACAAGAAAGAAGGAAAATCTTGAGGAGCCAAGAGGAAAACCAGAAGATTTCGAGTTTGTGCAGCATCCACAGTTCCTTAGAGGTATAAAGCTTATACCTTGTTCATTCATGTTCTAGATCCTTTTTTGGAATGAATTAGGGTTTTTTGGAACCATTTTTGGTGGCCAATCATGAGTGCAAGCATGGTTAGAGGTCAAGACTCCAGATCCAGGGTCCTTAGGGGACTACATGGCCTAAAGTGGCCAACTTTGTAGCCATTAAGAGCCAGATGCACCTTTAGACCTCATTTTTGGGTCCATTAAGCTTATACTCCCATGCATGCATGTAAAGTTCATAACTTTACGTGATAGATCAATCTTAGAAGCCCCCATATATCTTTTGGATGAGTGTTGTAAATCAGAAATCAAGATATAAGACTTGGATATCATCGACTCGTTGAGTTGTTCTTGGAACTCGGCAAGTCCAGGGCTTGAGTCCCCTATCTGTTGTGGTTCAAAGGAACCCAGTCGAATGATAGAAGGGTCTTTAAGGGGTCTAGGGGAGTGACTCAACACATTAAACTTAGTATTGGACCTGGGAATCATAGGACTCATCGAGTATAAGAACAGACTCGGCGAGTCCAAGGCAATCTCCCAACCCTTTGAAGATGGACTCGACGAGTTGTTCATAAAACTCGGCGAGTCGGATGAAGGTTCATTCGATGATATTATAGAAGGATAACTCGTCGAGTCTTTGCTAAACTCGATGGGTGGAGTCGGGAGGCAGTCAGATGAAGGAATAGGCACTCGGTGAGTTGGCGGCCCAACTCGGCAAGTCAGGTTAATTGGAAGTTGACATTGACCAAGATTTGACTTTGGCCATGGGTAAAATAGTCATTTTACCCTAAGAATAGTTTTCAGCTTCTGATTAAGTGCCTTTATGGGAATTATAGTCGGAGAATCTCCAGAGCAGCAGACAGAGACTTCTCACTCAGATTGATAGCGTTCATTTATACGAGGTGAGTTACCTTCCGGTAGCGGTGGGTCTATGGCCACAATGTCGGCCCACCAGTAGAAGTTGTATGTTAGATGATTGTCTTTGTGATATTCATCTAGGTTTGCTACTACCTTATATGTAACATTGCGACACTATATGTTATATGTGAGAGTGGTAGTGAGAAGGGAATAGTCCCCAAGTCGGTTGATAGGACCGAAGGGTAGGTCGGACATCCCAGATATGCCTGACAGTACGTTATGTTATGATATATGTGATAATAGTAGTAGGGGTGGAACAGTCCCCGAGGTTCGGTTGTTAGGACTGAAGGGTAGGTCAGCAACCCAGAACGGCTTGACACGGGTAGGTCAGCACCCCATAATGGGTTGACACGGGTAGGTCGGTACTCCAG